ACTAATGAGAATGAGAACCAAGCGGTTCCAATGGTGACTGCCAATGCGTCAAAGCCGAACGACACCGCAGCATGCACCGGCGGAGAACCCGAAAAAATTTTCCGGGATTGATTTCAAGCGGCTCATTTCTGTAAAAGAATGACACAAACATTAAAATCACGTAGATTTTAATAGAGTACAAAACCACAAAGGTTTTACTCTTCCAGAAACAGTAAGTACAAATACAGAAAATAGAATATTAAATTCCTTAAGCTTGTTATTACACTGTATTTGTAAAATAAATTCTGGAAATATAAATGAATATAAACAGTAATGAATATAAACAGAAATGACATAAACCAATTCGAGCCCACTGAATTCACAGTGTTTCCTTAAGGAATTTAATCCCCTCCTAGTACCCAAGGTTATGGATTATTTCCTCCCAGGATAGAACGAATTACACACTGGTGTAGTGGTACTTCAAACCCCAGTGTTTCAGCGAACACAAAGTTCGGTAGCAAATCACACTTACTTTTTGCTTTGTTTTGATGCTAAAAGTATGCAGAAGAAAGAGAGGAAACTCAGAAAATTGTAGTTAAAATTCTGAGCAGAATAGTGTTGTATTTATAGCCAAAGTTGGGTCTCTTCAGAATGGCTGTTTATGCAAAACGCCCACAACATAAATGCCATTACATAAATGGCCATTTACTCAATAATAAAGAGGGAAAATAAAGAGGGAAAATTGAAGAGGGTAGTTACTTTTCTGTTACCAAAACAGAAAAACGGATTGGATTTAATATTAATATTTAATATTAATATTTTGTTATTAAAACAAATATTTAATAACATTTCTGTTAATATTTTACTATTAACAAATAAATTTGGTCCAAAAAGTTAATTAATCAATCGATCATTTGACCGAATCCGAATCCGAAGCCGAAGCCGAAGCCGAAGCCGAAGCCGTAGCCGTAGCCGAGCGAGCGACGACGACGACGGCGCGAGGCTTGCCTTCTTCTTAACTCTTTAAGAGCTAGAAGAAGAGCAATTGCTTATATACCCATAAAAAACCTCTTCCTCTTCCAATATGGGACAATGCCCATTTGTCAAGGGAGGGGGAACTTAAAATTTCACTCAAAAATTTCATTTCCCTCCATTTCCCATTCACCCTCTTTTAAGTATTTAATATATTAATTAAATACCTTAAAAACCCAACAGTTATATGTTTGCTTCCCTGCAAATCTTGCCACACGATGTACTTACTGCATTTTGATGGCAGATGCCTCGAAAAATGGTGTTGCTCAAGAAGCAGTGCAGAATATTAAAAGAGCTAGTAAAACCATGACGGAGGGAGAGGCAAGGCAGATTCTTGGCGTCACTGAGAATTCATCATGGGAAGAAATTGTGCAGGTTCATTTAAATGCCATCATTACCTTGCAACACTTTTGTCTTCAATATGACTGAAATACTTTGCTTCTCATTCTTCTTGCAGAAGTATGACAACTTGTTTGAGCGAAATGCTAAAAATGGGAGCTTTTACCTTCAGTCAAAGGTTCACAGAGCTAAAGAGTGTTTAGAAGCAGTTTACCAACCTAAAGAACCAGAAACAAAATAAGTGAACCTCGAACAAAAGACCGATCTCGTCATCAACTCGACTAAGAGTTCCGAATCCAAAAAGGAAAACTCCTCCAGATGATTAGTGTATATCTTTGGTGCTGGTGAATACCTAGTTAGCTCCTTGGATCTTTCTCAAAATTAATTTGGCTGACAGCAGCATGAGGTTCTTCTAGACACGCACAAAATCGTAGAATACGTTTGTGTTAATAAAGATATCATAATTCCTTAAGTAGCTAACGAGTAAAAAGAGTGCTAAAACACTCTAAACGTTTTGGTGCGTCATTTTAAGTTATAGGAGTATTCATTATTCAGGCTTTTTCACTACTAATTACTGTATATATTTAAGATTCACAATACATATGATCGCTATAGTTGAGAACACAGACTACTTGCTTCACAAAAATGTTGAGACTACATTTGAAATCCCTTTTCACCTAAACTTGTTAAATTCTCACAAGTTGAATCTCTGATATGTGCTTTATTTAACTGGTTTATCGAAACAATTATGCAATGATCTGGAAGACTATAAAACTTGAGATTTTTACATTCCTATGTCATATGGTAAACTATATCACCCGGCATGCTTAACCTTTAATATAATTATATTTTATATACCTAATTACCATTTATGTACATTTTAGGGGTTTTAATTGTATTAATTAGTCTCCTAATTTAACTCTACCGTATATTTTCACTCTCCCCAAGTTTCTCTCTCCAAATCCCACCCCCTCACCCACGTATCAAACCACATCCCACGATTTCCTCTTCAATCACTTACTATTTCCTCTTCTAAAACCAGCGAAAATCTGTAACCTCTCCATTAACGCCTACTCTCATGTTCTTTCTTCTAAAATCAGTCAAAATTTCTACTATTTTTCAAAGTTCATTCACTCATTAACGACCAACTTCAAAGATTTTCAATGAAGAAGAACAAAGTTTCAAAGAACAGCCCTAAAAAAGTTAAAGAATCAGATGTTCCTTCTTTCGATTTGGGTGTTTTATCACCACATTCACCGAAAAAGCATGAAAAATCTGCTCATGCAACTGAAGAGAAGAAGCATAGGCTTTCCCCTCGTCAAGCTAGGGCAGAAGCTAGAACTAAACAAAAACATGATTTTGATGCTGGTGAATCTTCGATGCAAATCAATTCAGCGAAAAGGAAAGGCAAAGAGATAGATTTTGATGATGATTTTGTAGAAAATGAACCTGTCAATAAACCTGCAAAGAAAGTTAAAATGTCTCCTACTGTAAAAGCTCCAAAAAAAGCTCCTAATGTAAAATCTCTTAAAAATGTTCAACAACATTCATTGGTGAAGGTAAGAATTTAGTAATTTCAACAATAGTTTTTTTGTTTGTTTTAATTCTTAAAAGGCTCCATAATATGTGTTTTTTGTGGTTTGTATATATTTTGTCTACATTGTGAAGATTAGTTGTAGTTTTCTGAATCTGTTTAAACTTGTAGATATATTGTTAAAAAATTATAGTTATTTTGTTTTTGTTTTTAACTGTATTATGTAGTTGGAGATATATTATAGATATATTGTATGACAAATGTAAATATGTTATTTTTTAGATTGGAGCAGTGTATTAATAAGAGATTATTTGTTTTTTGTGCAGAATCGCCATTTTTTTGCACCTCATAATGTTGATTATGGGGCCCTTAGGTTTCAGATATTATCCGACCCCAGTGTTCCTAGCCAAATTAAAGAGTTATTGTCTCCAAATGGTTTAAAGCTTTTCAAGAAGACATGTTTTGGTTATTTCAATTCCCAAAATATGTATGCAAAACCAAGCTATTCATCTTCTAATGAAGTATGAATTGAATGCATCTGGTGCTTCCTATTTTTCAACTGAGTTAAAGGGTCAGAGGTTGAATTTCGGCTTGAGAGAGTTTGCGTTAATAACTGGTCTTAGATGTTTTACCGAAGTGACAGACTTTGGCTACACTCCGGATTATGACAGTAAGATAATGAGGAGTTATTTTCCAAACAAGGAAAAAGTGGAGAAGTCATACCTAAAATAGACTTTAACCAACAAAAGTTGGGTAAATGATGATGACGCAGTCAAGTTATGTATTCTATATCTCATAGAATTCTTCATCTGTCCTTCAGACAAAGACAATATTGGGTTGGTAGATTTTAGGTTTTATTTGGTGGACCCCGGACAGTATGCGACATACGCATGGGGTATTGAGTCTTACAAGCAGTTGATTGAATCAGTTAGGCACAAGCTCAATCCTTTTGTTCATTCTTATCTCATTCGAGGATTCGCACTAGCTATGCAAGTATGGTTGTATGAGTGTTGCTCTACCGTCAACATTGACATAGCTATAAGAGTTGCTAATTCAATCCCCTCGCATACTTAACTGGTTAGTTAGTAAGGACAAGATATGGTTAGCTGCAATTGAAGATAGAATGATCAAACCTGAATGGATCAAGGTAAATGGTTTTTATTTATGAATATACAATTTAATACAAATTATCTAATATTTGTATACATATTCTGTTTAGTCAAGCAAATTTATTTTTTTTTCCATTCAGTTCACCAACATAACTGAAGCACCGGAAGAGCTTTCTATGATGTCTTTGCCTGATAAAGTTGTGTACATACTTGAAGAAGTTGAACACATTTTTGAGGATCCGAAAGTTGCTGCTCCTCAATTGGAACCCAAAAGAGTCAATTGGAAAAGAGGACAAGAAGTCTATTCTTAAACAAATTAGAAAATTAAAAAAAAGGTCTTGAGAAGGTAACAGGTATACATAAAATTGCATATGTTCTTTAATGTATGTCAAGCCATATTTGAAGCTAACTCTCTATATTTTTAATATGTAGGTTGATTCAGATCTTGCATCTTTTAGGAAAGATGTCTTTGAAGAACTAGGTAGCCTTCGAGAGCTACTAAATGAGTCAATCAAGGATGTTTTGCAGGTGTAAACAGTCAAAATGATAACATTGATGCCAAAGTAATATTTATCAGTTTATTCATTTAACAAAACTATTTCTGTCACCTCTAAGTTATATTGTTATTCATAAAATAAATATCCTAACTAATATAAAACTTTCAGTTTGCTGGGAGTTCTACAAAAAATGCTGACCACCCAAAAGAAAAGAACAATCAACAATTTCAGTGCACTAGTGGAGAACCAGTGCATGCCAGCAGCAGCAAACAGGTATATACAAAATACATACATCTTATTTACAAATTATCTACAAGTTGTCTACACCATATATACAACATATCTACAAAATATCTTCAAAATATCTACAATACATTTACAACATATCTACAATATATATACAATTAAATACAGTATATTTACAAAGATCTACAGATTTATGTAGATCTCTATAATATACCTACATATCTCCTAAAACTGTCAAGCAACTACTATCCATTATAATTCAAATTCTTTAATGAAAAAAAGGGCATGTGAATGACATGGAAAATAATGAGAATCTTCCAGCACTTGTTGATTTATATTCCCATTTTGAAGGTGCAGTTGATGAAGAAAATGCAGGTATGAAATTGCATTTAGAAATTTTTGCTTTCTGTTTCAATTTTTTACAATTCTATTAAGCTAGATATACTAAATGTAAGAGTGAGGGAAGATATGCATGCACAATCTCCAATTCACGGAGTCACAGTAACAATTCAAGGAGACAGAAGAATGAGGAAGATGTTAATGTAGGTGAAGTAGCCGAGTATGCAAATGTAGGTGATTCGGATGACTCTAGAGGTGAGAAGAAGGAGGTTACACTTGATGATTTTGAGCTGCCAGATAACTTCTCCCAGTTGGTTAAGTTCGGCGAGCCTAACCAAGATGAAACAACACCTGTGCATCAAGGTAGAACAAGGCAAGCATGCCCGATCACCATTTCTCCCTTTATACAACTCTGGTGGCAGCACTTCGGTTAGACCTCAAATTTTTCACCTGAAGCACCCATTTACTAGTGTTATTGGTCAAGATGTTGATCCTGAGTTGTTGGAAGAATTCAACAAGTGATTATACCTTGGTACCGACACAGCTTCAAAGAGGTTAGTTTACACAATTTGACCCTTTGATTCCAGTATTCATCTTTTAGATATCTACTTCATTCAACAAATTTATTTTAATTTCTATTTGTTTAAATAAGAGGAAGGCTCCGTATTCTATAAAGGATAACCAAATTAAGTCATGGTTTGATCTTGTAGTGGAAAAGGTTGATAAGAAGGAGTGATTCTATAGTTTGGCACACCCCTGACAAGTCATCAACCACTCGGTAAACTCATACTCAAAATATATAGTTTTTTTGTTGAACTTTTTTTTTATTTGTATCTATAACACTGTTATAGTGCCATACCCGGTATATGTAGTTATTGTGTAGATATATTGGAGATATTCTGTATAAATGCTTAATAACAAACTGAATTGTAGGTATATTGTAGATGTTTTGTAGATAATTTGTATCAATGCCTAATAACAAACGAAATTGTACTTAGTTTGTATATATATATATATATATATATATATATATATATATATATATATATATATATATATATATATATATATATATATATAT